CTGCGTGAGATATTGCTGTGGTAGTATAAAAAGACATGTCGATGTGCGGCGCGCGGCGCGACATCTAGTGATTTTTCGGAGTTCGAGCTTTGGTTTAGGATCCCCTTAAGAGGACGACCTCCTGTGTAAAAATTTCATCACGGCGATGTCTCCATCTATCGGCGAAGTACCAAACCAGAATGCGCACAATTCGCCCACTTTCCCCTACAGACTTTTTTAATTCCAAATTCGATAATAGTGGTGACATCTTTGATTTAGTTTTTACATTATATTATATAATATATATCATTCTGTCTTACTCAAACGCATACATCTGTTCTTATCTAACATATGCCAGCACCATCTATCGCAAGACCGCGCAACTACTGCTACACGGAATTTCGGCTCTGTTGACAGTCCCAGTCTTTGCAAAGCACCTGTATACACGTATTTTCTATTCGGTGGAAATATTTCTTTTCTAGACTTTCAATCTTAGTTCTACAAACTCGGTATCGTTTGTTTCAATAATGTGACCTCAGCTACACGCTTATTTTCAAGATATGGACTCTAAAACTCTTACATCAAGCAAATATATATCTGAGGTGACAGCTGTACGAGCCAAAAGTAAGTGAATTTTTCATGAATCTGAAACTTTTTTTCGATTTTTTCATGAAATCCAGTGCAGCTGAGGTCCTGTTTGTGCGTACTTAAATTTAAGCAATAATACTTTTGCAATCCGTACATCCAATACAGAGATTTTTCACCGAATGGAAATGTGGTAAAACAGAAGGCTTTAGCATCACCTTAACCTCACAAGCATTTGGTCAAAATCACGCATCGACTCGGTTGCTGCACATATTCGATTTAATCTGTAGTGAATTCATATACTTACGAGTTTCATGATGTAACACAACATTGTAAATACCTTGTTGGAACCAATAAAAATATCAACAAACTGCACGATCAATAGGAAATACTAAAGTATGTCTTTAATATTTAAACATGGCGATTACTGGTACCCTGACGATTAATGGGTCAACTACCTTACATAAATTATTCCAAATTCAATTTTTACCATTTTTTAATTACTTTTTTAATGAACTTAACTTCTAATTCAATTAATTTCATTATGGATCAACTTGTATCTTAACTAATTGTAAGTTAAATTTTCAAGGTTGTTAACTTTAACTTAACTTAATTAAAAAAAAAAAGATTAAATTACCCAATCTTGTTTATAATAATATGAATATGAATTATCGTATGTAAAATATAATCTTCGTGAATGGTTTAATCGGGGCTTCTTAAATTATTCGCGAAACACTGGCCAGGTCAGCTTTTTTTTCATTACTTGACACGTACCTGTTTTTATCTCCGATCGATCGAAAACGCGTTTGTTCAATCGTGTCGTTCAATGTTATTCACCTTGGCATAATTCCCATAATGGTGATCTTTTTCGCATACGTGGGAATACGGATTCCCTGGCAACGGGATTTCGGCAAGTACGACGAAATCGTATCTGGCATCGTAATCGAGTATGCACAGCTTACGTTCTCTTTGAAAGAACGTCTTTCTTATTTTCAATTATCGTAAAGTTTTGTGATTGGAGATATCAATTGGAATAAAATTGTCTCTTGTATCTTGCTATCATGGCATCATAATGCTTTCCAGAAATAACGGATCAATTCTAAAAAAATTATTAACTTTCCGATGCACTTTAAAAAACAAACTGAATCTCTGTATTGCATATAATTTTTTTAATCATTTGTTATCAAGTTGTTTAAAATATTAATTTATATATAAAATTACAAAATGTTAAAAATTTTTCAACACAAATGAGAGGCCATATTCGTTTAAAACGAGTCTTGGTATCTAATAATATTTGTGTGAATTAAAAAAATTTTTAGTTCAAGCAAATTACGTACCAATCATTTGTCGGTCTTGAAACAGTCCTAGACTGAATCTGAAGTACGTAATGTCAAATTAAACAGTTTAATATTATTAATGTTGATAATTTGTAAAATATTGTAAAAAATTTATTGTAGAAAATATCGTCTTATCTGAGAGATTTTCCCCATTCCATACGGACGTCAATTCGACTAATACTGAAGCATGTGATAATATTCATAACCCCAGTCTAAGGCTGGTATATATATATATATATATTTAAGATCATCTTAAGTACAGTCTTAAAATGTAATAAGCCAATCACAAAGTTGTATTAACATCTTAATGAGCTTTTTACAATAAGTCATTAGTAATAGATCAGAAGTCAAGGAGCGAGTTGTATGCGAGACAGTAGTGTGTCACAAGCAATAATATATCAATAATCAGTGACTACATGGAGATACTCAAATTCCATTTTTTTACGATTTAAAACTTAGATTACGTTATGATGACCAATCATATAGTGCATAGTTATTTGCCTTGAGAACTGTCACCCTTCTGATTGGTTGAAATATCGTAACGATCTAATATGATTTATTCTGGATGTAAGTTTCATAAGATTTATGTTGACTTATAATTCTGTCTTACCACTAGTATAATATGAATGGTGACTAACGACTTATTGTAGAAAACCCATAAGGCATTACTTAAAATGATCTTTAAAAAAGAGCTGATTATGAATATTGACCTAGGACTGCAGCGTTTCAAAACCGACAAATAATCAATGCGTAGTTTATTTGAACTAAATATTTTTTAAATTCACACAAAAATATTATTAGGCATCAAGATTAGCCTTGACCAAACATGGGCCTGTTTACTGATTTGTGTTCAACATTTCTCGGTTTAATTTCATTTGTTATTGTTTGTAAAAACTATATATTTATACAAAATTATGAAAAAGTTCCTGAAAAGTTTGTTTCCATTTTTTAAAACTCATGGTACAGCGTTCACCTTTCAAGTTGCTCATATTTCCACACAGAAAAAGTGTTACGGTTGCTACAACCAAAAATAATGATAATTTTCGCCCATCGATACATTTGGTTGTGATAACCGTAAGATGGACATATCTTTACAGCCATAACCGTTAAGATATGCCAATCTTACTATTATCACAACAATCGTACTGTAGTTCTTATATCCAAAAAAATGTAATGATGGGTGACTTTTGGTCGTGGCAAACGTAGTCGTTTTTTCCATGCAACATTGATTCGTAATTAAATAAACAAATATGCCATGCGACCTAATATTCATTTCTGGTCTTTCATTCTCGGAGAACCGTTTAAGTCTCCGAATAAATAAAATTTGAAATTAAAATTGAAATCGAATCAGTCAATTTCAAAATAAACAAGTGAGCTAATATTTGTCTGTCGAATACTCACGTCATCGGCGTGACGTTGAGGCACAAGGATGAGACGTGGGTTTTTCGGTGAATGATGGGGCCTAACAATCTGGCGCCACGGTGACGCGGTGACGCGATTTGCCACGTGTCTGCGAGCGGTTCTCCACCTACAACAACTTTCGCCGCAACTGAGATCCTCGCCCGCCGAAGTCTGCGAGGTGTAATCGAGCATCTCGAACGACCTCGTTTGGCTGGTAGCGGCGGCCGCGCACTGCAAGGACGACAACGGCATCGTGCCCTGGTATGGACACTCGTCCCGCGTCGTTCCACAAGACTCTCCTCCCGATCCTTCCACAAGGACGTCCTCATTCATTATCAGCTTCTCCGACGGGCAACTCGTATGCAATCTCTCGTATCTCGTTCTGATCTTTTCCAAAGTATCTGGATCAGCGTATCCTTCCGAAGACGATCCTCCGGAAAGACACGTACCTCGTTGATATATACTGAAGGACGATTCGTTACTAGGAGCTATTATCGGATTCTTGTCATTAAGTATCAAGCTGTGATTTTTGTCTGCGGAGGGATCACCTGTTGCTCTATCTTGATGCAGGAAACTACCTATTGGCCACGAGTTCGGACAACTAGGACCGAACGATGGGCCAGGATTGTTAACTTCATGAAACGCTCCAATATCCCTAAACGCATTTCTGTTGACGTCGTCTGTGGGGAATATCCTAATATATGACTCCTTCCTGTCAAACGGATCTTCGTAAGACAATCTTTTCGATCGGTACCAAGGATACTGATCGCACTGCAGGTATTTGGGGCTAACTTTGACATCCTTGATATCTTCCAGCTTGCAGTCCGTTGTTTGTTCCCCGCAGGTCGTCATCACTGGCACCGGTGGAAGCCGGATGCGCAGGGCCTCGGCAGCACGCAGAAACGCGTCCAATCGCATCCGTGGAACAGAGGCGCTTCCAGTGTAGACGAAGCCAAGAAGAGCCGCGAGTTCCGGCGCCTCCATCTCTGCCAGAATCACTGTAATCGGCTCACAATGAGCTGTGACTTTGCTGTGTGCAAGTAACACCTCCTAAATAAAATTTTGTTTATTAGAATAATGAAAATAACAATTTTAAATTATAATAAATACATAATATTTTTAATTATAATAATATTTTTAATTATAATTGATGTATACAAAAAGAATGATTTTGTTGAAATATCTAAAAATTTATTTAGATATATATCTGAAAATAATTTTATTATAAAATATTAGGATAGTTATATAGAATGTTTAAGCGCTACTGACAATACTGTAAGAAGTTTTAACTTTCTAGCAACCAGTTTGAATGTTCTATCTAATTATTTTGATGGTTTAAAGAAAATTATTTTCGGATCTGTATCTAATTAATTTTTTAGATACTTTAACAATATTGTTCTTCTTATGTATACATATACAAGAAAATGCATATATAAGAATATGTAATAATATACTATAAGATAATATAATAATATATAAGGAAACATAACAAAATATTAATTAACTAATATCTATTAGATAATATATTGAGTAAAAAATGGGAGAATATATGTTTTGATAGAAATATACGTACATGATTCTAGCGTGTTGTTAAAGAATATAAAAGAACCGCGTATGAGTTTTCGTATTGATGAAGATTACTTTACAACTTATAATTAGTAATGTGCAGTAATAACATGTATCAAGAACATGCGCTAAGTTACAGAGAAGTTCATGTACGCTGGTTGCATATGTGGGCCAAATTTTATTAGTGCTCTCATTTCATGAAGTGATCTCATTCGAGAGAAATATATATGTACATAAGAAATATATATTTCCTTGCTTATCCGATATAACGGCTGTGATATGCATAAGAAACTTAATGAGAAGAGATGTTTTGATTTTTCTGTGATATCTCCTTTTATAAGTTATAAGAATTTATTTATTTCATAAATTATATAAGAATTTATTTATTTCATAAATTACATAAAAATAAATTCTCTATTTGTTATTTTTTCGTTTTACATGTAGAAGAGCAAGAAGTTTTATGGTTCATTAAACGGTAATTCTTTATCGTCACATTCACTCTCTAAATGAATTCATTAAAACTCCCATATATTCCATAACTATTTGATTAACCTTTTAATACTTTTTTTTTAATTCAGTTTTGTTAAAAAATCTTTTATAGAATTTTGAATAAGAAGCTAAAATTATTTAGAGAGAGAGAGAGAGAGAGAGAGAGAGAGAGAGAGAGAGAGAGAGAGAGATAAAATAATATATCTAAAAAATGAAGACAAAAATTAAAAACTATTCTGATGGATCCTGATAGGGGAATATATTTACATTGAGTTAATAGAAGAATTGTAAATTCGGACTTCCCCAAATCGTTCAAAGCTTTATGCATTCATAAATATCGCGCACTTAATTTATTTCATTCTTCTTTTCTCTTCTTGTTACTCGCGCGGATAATGAAACCTGGACAACAATGAATTACGAGTATTTCATTGTTGTAAGCTTGAAAATCGTGCTGCATTGAGATAACTGTAATTACGCGGCCGGCGGTCGCTTCGACGGCTCTTTCCGATTTTTTTTAAGCGATAATTAACCGTTATTGGCTGGTCGCCGAGATCAGGAAACTTGAATTAACCTCTGCCGGTCGCACAATGTTGATCACGTGAGAATTGTTGTACATTTTTGCTCCATTATATAATGTACCAATAGAAGATTAATACATTGCATTAAAGTGAGATCAATGTAAGATTACACAAAACAAATTACAAACTCCTAAACTCTAATCTTATAAAATTGATATATTGTTATATCAAGTATCTCAAAATAATTTCTCAACCTTTCTAATTTTACTGTATTATCTGTGTATACGTGTCAAAATATTCTAAATTTTTATAAGAATTTAATATTTTTTTTACTTCCAGATTTCTTATTGATGTTATGTTTGCCGTGAGGTTTTAGCCTTCAATCATTCTTCTTCACGCCGTTTCGCAACCATTTTAACGGATAGTTTGCGTCGAAAAATGATGAGAGCATTATTCCTTCACGTAGAATGTAAATTAAATGTTGGCTTTCAAACCGGCCCGCGGCTCAATGCAGCTTTGCTGCACCGTTGCGTTCAATGGCGTAGGAATTACTTTTAAATCTTCCGTAAAAATCACTCATGGAGTGATGCATTTTATTTTTGCAACAGTATAATGTCAACCTTATATATATCTATAATTATTTTATTATTTATTATTTTACAACATAATAACTTTGAAAGAAGATGAATTGCAAAACTTAAAATGAATTCTAATGTAATAAAAACTTTAATAGCACATTTGTTGCTTCTTTGCAATATCAATGATATCTTTAAAAAATTCCAAGCTCTAATTTTTTTAAGATACCATTAATATTGCAAAGAAACAACAATTGCTATTAAAACTTTACGTTAAAGGTATATTTATATTGAAGGTACATTTTATATTCAAATATTACATATTGATAACACATTCATTTATATTAAAAATTAATTTTAAATTCATCCCGCGTTTCTGATTTTCTTCTATAACGAAAAGAAAGAAGAAATAGGTTTGTGGGTTGCCTGTTCTTATACGCATCTGCATCTGCATTTGCATTCTTATTATGCGGTAGCTACACCCCTGTGCCACAAGGCCGCGACGACTTTTTAGTTTTCTTCCTCTATGTGCTAGAAGTGCTCTCTCGGGCGCAATTACTTAGGGTTAGTATTTGCGCTTATTGCACTTGAATCGTAAACATTTCCGGAAACGTTGCAACGCCTTCAGCCTGAATGTATTCCGTCACGAATATGCAGGCGAATATATAATAAAATGCAAATACAAAGTAAGCTCTTTTTTCTTTTTTTGATTGCGAGATAATAAAGGCTAAAGCATGTGGTTATCAATACACTTCGTCACTATAATTAAGAATCTAATAAGCGCTGTATTACCTCTATCTCGTACATATTTTATGAACTTTCGCAGTATTAGGTGGTATTATAGAAGTACGGTACAAGTAAATATATTCTATCGTAGTAGATCTACTAGTTTTCTATGAAGTTTCTTACGTACGTGCTGCCGGATAATTCACGTCTTGTAATAACGACGCAGTCTCTATCTAAATTCTAACTAATATATCTCTGCTAATTGCTAATTACTGAAACATTTTCATACAAATATGTCAGAAATGGTTATCAAGAGACAATGTCTCGGGTCAAATGTGTGCATGAATCTTACTATAAATAAAAAATTTTTCCTGAATTTATAAATATTTCTTTGGAAGAATATTAATCTGAAATATTGAGTCGTTAACATATTTGATGTCCATAACTTTATCTCATGTTTCCAGTATATAATATTTTAATCGTACATTTTAAAAGATTACTTTGTTTTACTTTTATGTTAATACATAGATAACTTTTTATGTAAATAATTAATTAAAAAATAATTAATTCCTGAATGCTTTATAATGTAACATTTTAACCGGGTTACATGATTTTCTCTTCATATACGCTTATTTCACTTATTGCACTCCATCTTATCCTTATATATATTTACATTTCAAACATGATTTTGAATTTTGAATGACAGTTATTTTGAATAATTTGGATACTATGTCAATTTATAATTACAAATGTATATAAATATCCATATCTGATATATAAGCTATTATTAGGATCAAATCATGCGAAATTCTAAGTTTACTTCTATTAACTTACATTATACCGATTTATCATTCGCGAAACAGCGATTACATGATTGGAGAATCAATCAATCAATTACGATAAATATTACAAGTATCTGCGGATAATATCTATGACCGGTTTACGATTTCAAGCTGTGCGAAATTTTTAAGCCTGTTTCCCAAAGATTTATAGATCAATCTATTGTACATGAAACTTGGCAGTCAGGATCTGCCAATTAATCAGAATCATAGTGATATTCTGAGGAACGCGCTTTCCATCCACATCTGATGCGATCTCTCCTATTACATTACGAAATTCAGGGTGCGATCAAGAACATTGATTAGATCATCGTAATTATAGTTGTGTATCAGTTTTCACGATGTGAGCTATGAAATAAATTTTCGTTTGATTGGTTTTAGCTTCCTGTAAAATAATGTGTAAAATTTCACACTTCGTGTAATTTTCCGCGTGTAGATGTTCCGCGATATCTCACGTGCAACAATGTGTTGCAGTACTTTTGCAGACGCACACATCCTGCAATGAGACATATAAGAGAAATCGATTCTTCAGTTCGTGCGTGATGGATTGTCGTTTGAATAGAAACAAATTTAAAATTTTTGCACACAGCTTAAAATCAATAAACGTAAATGTTTATAAATAGCAGACGTAGATATTTATAATTACATAAATTAGTAAATATAATGCGAGAAAGATGATGATCACCTTTTCAAACAAACACAAATAGATACATATAAATAAAATAGAACCAAAATTGTTGCAAAATTGAAGTATTTTATTTATATTAATCCATAAATTTCTTTTTTTGCAAAAACGATCCTATATTAAAAATAGTTTAGCAATTTATTAGAAAAAAAATTTCTAACTTTAATTATAATAATAATGAAATGAAATTAAAATAAGTTATGGGGATGCTAAACCGGGATTACTCAACTCAATCAAGGTCGATAGTACAGACTTTTTTAATTCTAAATTCGATAATAGTGGTGACATCTTTGATTTAGTTTTTACATTATATTGTA